ACAGGATACTGAGCTAGATGGACCTTTGGTCTGACCCGGTACGGCCGTTCTTATGTTCTTGTGACCCTTGCTGTAGCCTGCCTATGCCACTCTGGCAGCATTATGGTGCTACAGTGGCCTGGGAGCGAATGTCCCCAGTTTAGGAGCAGCCGAGGGTTGATATAAGCAAATGTACAGTGGCTTTCCTTGTGGACCGTGTTGGTCTGGAGGATCACGGGTGGGAAAGGAAGTGCTCATAATGCTTGGTGCTGCAGGGACACAAAGTTGAAGAGCAGTCATAGGCAGCCCCAGGTAAGTAAGAATTAAGGCCACTTTGTCCCCACAGCAGCTGAGAATCCAGGCCAAGTAAAGCCACCTTTCCTCTGCCTCCTCCTAGGCTATGCCTTCTATAACAACGGTGCCAAGGCTGCACATGGGGCACTCATGACAGGCTGCCGCATTATTTTTAGAAGAGGCAGGCATGATACATATGGAAATTTACTCACGGTCCCTGTGTGGTAAAGCACAATGTTTCAACAAGACCATACGTGTATGTTTTCTTCATCAGTGAACACTGGAGTATTAAGCAGACCCAGATCCCATTGTCTAGCTGGCCATTATGCAGTATTTTCATTGTTAAGTATCCTCAATGACACACACTCAAGCTTGAGGGAGACTCTTATCGCCTAAGTTTAAACTCTTTTTATGAGGTAATGTTAACGTCAGAATTTCAGCTTGAAATGCAGCATGCTATTTATTCATTGGGCCAGTGACAGTCTGCAGAACTTATTCTAGTGAGAAGGTCTTTATCTAGGGGACTGCCCTGACCATTGGGTTTGAAAACTAGCGAAGCAAGTGCTCAGCAAGAACAGTGTGCCCCTGGAATGATGCTGGTGTAACCGAGCAGAATTCGGCCCTAAGCTATAAACTAACCTTAGACTCTTTAACGCTCTATAAAACGGTCTATAGGGACCGCCAGAAAAATATGCTAGTGCATTGTTTCTCAACCCTTTTTGATCTCAGAGACCGGCTTGCTGCCTGTGCCAGGGAGATCTCAGGGACTGGCACCGGTCCATGGACCGGTCGCTAAGAATCACTGTGTTAGTGGAATTAAAGATCCAGGGTTCAAACTTGAATCCCACTCCAGGCCCAAGGCACCAAGGGATTGAAAAGTCAATGAATCTTCCTGGCTGGAGATTCCCCTGGCATGGGGGACTCATTGAGTGCTGGCTTCTAACCCCTTCCCCACCCGCAGGTCCACTGAATGTACCTGAGGCAAACTTGGGCAATAAAAGGGGTGTGGCCAGAATGCTGCTATGCTCTGGTGATCCCCAGCTGGCAGATGCCCCTCTGAGGGCCATACCAAGCTGATCTGGTCTAAATGACACCAGCCTGCAGAACCAGCCTCCACCCAGCCCCTAGATCCGTGAGCGGCAAATGGTTCCTATGTGTCTCCCCACACACCTGCACCCAGTAGATACTGAATATAGCTGAGAATTGACCTCCCAGTGTTGACCTACAAAAGTTATCGCTTTTGGCGTCAAGTATCAGAGGGGTAGCTGGAGCTGTAAAAAGCAACAAAGAGTCCTGTGGCACCTTAAAGACTAACAGATGCATTGGAGCATAAACTTTCGTGGGTGAATGCCCACTTCGTCAGATGAAAGCTTATGCTCCAATACATCTGTTAGTCTTTAAGGTGCCACAGGACTCTTTATCGCTTTTGGCGTCCACCAGAATATCTAACATAAAGGATACTTCTCTACAGCTGTTGCCACATCCACCCGTATGTGGGGCTTGTTATCACTGTAGCAAGTCAAAGCCAAAGTACATTTAGATCTCTAGCAGGTTGAGTCTCTGAAAAGGAATAAGTCACTCTCAACTTAAATTAGTACTGTATGTTCAGCAAGTGAGCAGTTAGTTGGGGGCACATGTCTTCCGTGCCCGCTAAGAGAAAAAGGAATCTGTTGATGCACTGACAGGCCAAGGACACGCTTTTATTTGTGAAACCGGGGTGGGTGGGTTTTTTATTTCATTTTAGTTTTGTATATAAAAGAAGTGTGACTATAAAATTTAAAATGATCTGACA